TACACACTTCCCACCTTACTCGATATTGTTGCCATTCAACGAGTTGATCGTCATCCCGTGGACGGCAGTAGAACCCCACTGGCCGCGCACTCTATACACCGAATGTTAGCGTTTTGAGCGCTACGAGTCCAGGGGTTTCCACTACCGTGTGCGGAGTGAAGACGAGCATAAAGAAAGAGCCACGCGACTGAGACCATCCACGTCAGACTCGGAATTGACCAGCGAACGACGACGAGATTTGATACGAAAACGAGACACGCGAAGCGTGCCAAAGCCTTTCCGTTCTAAACTTGAACGACGGGCTGTACCCCGGTGGGAAGCCCGACAATACTTTTTGGATTGAATTTGGATGTTTCGCGCCGTGCCCGCGCGCGCATTCCACGACGTGCGAAAGCAATCGACTTGCTTCATCGGACCAACACGGGGGATTTTACTTCTGTCTGTGTCCCCACACTCAATTTCCAAAAATCCTTGGCACACCCCATCTTGCTGTTTTTCTGGGCCTCTTTCCATACGTCTCACACTCTGAACGAAAGACAGCACAGGGCGTGAGGTTGGTATCGGAGCCGACACGTGTCGGTTCTGATGATAGTAAGTCGAACTGGCGAGAGGTAGGAGAGACCCTCAACTAGCTCGTCGGGATTGCCTAGTGACCAGGTCTCAGTCTGGTGCGGCTGCACCCGCAATACCAATGGTGGACGGTACTAGGGTGATCGTTAGTATCCCTGCCCCCTTCCCCTTCTTCCCTAACTATACCCATCCCGAGGCTTGGCTAGAAGCTGTCGAAGCTCAAAATTACAGCGTCGCCGATCTTCCATGCGTTCTGACATTGCTACTCCGCAACACGTCGCATGACTGGTTTAGAAAACATACGTGGGTAGATTGAAATAATTTCAAACAGGTTTTCTTGGCTCGATTCGATACGGTTAGTGAAGATGCCGCTTGGTACGTACTCAAAAATTGACCACAAGGACCAGGGGAATTGTTGCCCAATTTCGTCGATCGATTTCAAACCACGTTGGACAAATCCGGGCGAGACGAGAAATCCACTCGAGATTTGTTCATTGATCACCTACGAAGTCCGACATTGAAAGGGAAACTGCAGAAAAAAGGTTCCGCCGAAAACACACCAGTTATCGGTTATCATCACTAAAGCATTAGAACTGGAGCTGACTGATAGAAAAAAATATATCAGCCAGGGAGATGAGGATATTACAGATACCATACGGGACGTAACGGCAAAAAGGCGATCATGGCTGCCGGCGGTCGAACGGTTTTACCCCCGCCCCGACCATGACCTTCCCGGTGGGATCGTTTCCGATAGCCCGCCTGCTTCTTCTTCCTCTCCGAAGACAGCGCGTTCACGCCTCTGACAACCCAGGTCAGTCCTTCGGTTCTCCTCGGAGAACCCATATTACAAGTGTCCGACCTGGCTGATGATTTGGAACCCCCTCGCACCTTGTACGAGGGAGCTCTTTCTTACGAACGCGTTATCAGCAAACGGAACAGTATTTGGATGTTTCTGTTTTTCCTCCCAGATCGTTACTAACGACAAGAGCCACCATCGCCTTGATTAAACAAGAGGCGGAAACACCGGTAAGTGATGTACCTAACCTGATGCAAGAGATGACGGATCTAACGAGGCTAATTGTGGAACCGACCTCGGTTGGTTCAGAGACGGACGCTGAAACTAAAGAAACGGAGATGATCAGCCCCGCTGAGTCCCAGATGATAGCAACTATCTTCTCTGTTCGTACCAGTAGTTCCGTTTCCTCTAGTGTCGATGGTCGGCGGGAACGGTCGGTTGACTGGGTCGATATGCCCCTTAAGACTTTCGGGGAATCAACAATCACCCTGACAGGTCACGTCCCCGCGGAACTTCGAAATTCATTAATCCGTGTGTGAAATGGTTACGCAGAAGTATTAAGCATACACGATAACGACATCGGCTTAACTAATGTGATTAAGCATGCCATTCTCACGAGAGATCATCCGCCCATTAGTTGCGCTCCCTACCGATACTCGCGAGCTGAAAGAGCGGCCGCTTTTCAGCGGATTAAGGAGTTCGAAGCTAATGGATGGATCGAACCCGCTATAGATCCATGGTCTTTTCTTGTAGTGATCGTGCCTAAAAAGGCCGGAGGGATTCGCATTTGTATTGATTATCAAAAATTGAATGATATCACGATTAAAGATGTGTACCCTCTCCCCCGGATTGATGAATTGTTGGATGCGATTGGGAGTGCTCGATTTTTCAGCAAGTTTGATGTCCGCCATGGGTTTCATCATCTTCTTGTTCGAGAAGAAGATCGTCCGAAAACAGCGTTTGTACTTTTCGAGGGTACGTGACAGTGGATTCGATGTCCGATGGGTATCTGCAACGCCCCCGCGACCTTCCAGCGAGCCATGAACATGGCTTTTCAGAATTTTGTATGGAAGACTCGTTTGGCACAGAGCATCATCAACTACTGCGTGATCGTGTACATGGATGACATCTTGGTGTACTCGAGTTCCTACGAGGGACACGTGCAGCACATCAAATGGGCACTACACTCGTTACGAGATGCGGGCTTCAAGGTGGCGCTTGAAAAGTGTCAGTTTTTTCTCACCACCATTTCCTTCCTGGGACACGTGGTGACGGACAAGGGACTTCAACCAGAGCCGCAGAAGGTGGCAGCTGTCAGGGATGCGCCGGTGCCTACGACTATCACGCAAGTTCGCGCCTTTCTGGGTCTGGCCTCGTACTACCGAAGATTTATCAAGGGCTTCGAGGCAATTGCGGGACCCCTCACAAATTTGTTGCCCAAGGATCAAGCGTTTTCCACACTCAAGGCCGCTCTCATTTCGGCTCCGGTCCTTATAATACCGGATCCTGAAAATCCTTTTGTTCTCATCACTGACTAGCAGCCAGAGGCGATTTCAACGATCCTTGCCCAGGTGGGACCAAGCGGACTTGAGAGCGTGGTGGAGTATGCGTCCAAATCAGTGCCCGCCTGCAAGCGCAACTACGCTGCTCCAACGGGAGAATGTTATGCGGCTCTCAGGGGAATCAGTCACTTTCGTGCTTACCTGTACGGGCGAAAATTCACCCTGGTGAGTGATCATGAGCCCCTGTTGGCTCTGAAGAAGTCGAAGGATTACTCAGGCATGATCGGGCGATGGGCAACGGTGCTGCAGAGCATGGACTTTGACATTCGTCATCGGAAGCACGAGAGACACGGGAATGCAGACGAACTGACACGGTTGCATCGGCCTGAGAAAGTTCCGAAGAATGAGGAGGTGATTCCGTGGAACGAACCTGAACAGGAGGTTGGACCTCGGTACGGCCAAGTGGAGATCCTGTCGAAGCAGTAAGTGACCCGCGGACTAATTTTGTCCATTGTTCGGTCCTATCTCTCCCCCTCTGTCGTCATGTCTACCCCGCCTGCCTCCGCAACCCCTTCTTCTCCTACTAATTCTGCCCCTCTCACTTCCTCGGCTTTCTTCGCCACCCTCCCCGATAAATTCTATTATTTTTGCACGTGTATTGCCGGGTTTATGGGGTCGACTGTCATCCCTTCGAGACCGGGTTTGTCGATTGGGTAGAATGTGCCACATGTGTCAACCGTGCGCACGGGGCCTGCGTTCGATATCGGACGAGTAGCAAGGAATGGAGGTGCCCCATCCCACGGAGGTTCGATTCGAGGCTGCCCGTACGGACGACCCTGAATTCGACGAAAAATACCGACGAGCGGAGGTTTGGACGGATAAAATTTTATTAGCGAAATTAGCGGGATTATCGTTGGGCCACCTCACCAAACATGACAGACGTAGGGCAATCGAGAGATCTCGGGACTATCGATGGATCAATGGTCATTTGGAAAAGCGTAAAACTGGCGGATCAGGATCGTGGTTGACAGTTCCCCATCCCTTCCAGAGATACGATTGGATCCGATCCGCTCACGAAGAACAGGCCGCTCATTTCGCAATACGTGTCACAGAGGCAATTGTAGGAGATGATGTCAAATACATTGTCGCTAACTGTCTATTGTGTGCTGCCGATCACGGCCCCATACGGGGACCAAACACGATCGTACCAACGAAAGTAGAGCGTCCTTTCCAGCGAGTCAGTATGAACACGACAGATATTGACGTGCCACCTGGCCCAAACCGCTGTGAATATTCTATCCTGTTAGTTTTAATTGACCATTTTTCCAAATACATCGAAGTCTATCCCTGTAAGACCCGAAAGGCCGCAGAAATAGCCACATACATCGAACGATTCCTCTATACCCATCTAGATACGGAAGAAATTTTAACCGACAATGGGTCGGAGTTCAAAGGTGAGGTAGAAGAACTGCTTGCACGAAGGGGCGTCACGCTCCGACATACGGCACCCCATATGTCCCTGTCGAACGGGTTGGCTGAGAATGCCAACCGTATGATTAAAACCGCCCTTCGCAGGAACTTAGCGGCACACGACACGCGTCCTTGGCCCGAGATCGTATATCAGATCGTCGGGATCCACCAGGCCACCCCTCACGAGTCTACAGGGTTTACCTCCTTTCAGCTTCGAACTAATAGTCTCCCTTGTGTCGATTACCGGGGTAACTCAGAAATTGCCGAAGCAAGGGGTAGAGACACGCGTCCAGCTCTCAAGGCCAAGGCCAAAAGGTATACTGAATTAATGGAACGGGCCATCCCGAAGCTAGCCCGAAAAAGGCAAAGGATGACCGAACTGGCCCACGGTAGACAGGTCCGTAGCTACGAGGCCCGGAATGGAAATGCTGGGCCCCAGTACCAATATAAATTAGGGGACCTAGTGCAGGTGCGTAAATGTGCACGCGACCGGAAACTCGCTCCCAAGTTCTCTGGCTGTTTTCGCGTTGTCGAACTTGGACCCAACGGCGCCAACACGGTGCGCATCGCGCCTGAGGCTAGTGCCAGCCATAGCTCTGTCCCCATCGTCCGGCATACCTCCTACCTCCGTCTCCTTCCTCCTTCCGATCCTCCTCCCTCTTTTTCCTCGGAAAGTGAGGAGAACGACAACGATCTAACTCTCTCTCCTCTTTCTCCCTCTTGTCCTTCGTCCTCCTCTCCGACCTCGCCATGAGTTTTATCACGGAGCGGGTTCTTGACGCTCAACTGCTGCAGCCACGTGGCCATATCTCAGAGATTCGACAAGTTTGTCACCCTCGGCTCAATGCGGATCTTCGACGCTTGATGCGATTCTTCTGCGACGAAGGTATCTGTGCCACCGCCTCGTTTCGAATCGAAGGAAGTCCTCACGCTGTAGTACTCGCGGAGGTGACCGCAGTTCATCGGCGAGCGGGTCCCAGAACGAGCCACGTCACCACGGTGGCGGCATTCACCGGCGACATCAGGTCGGTCAATCCGCTGTGGCATACTGAGATCTTGACCTCGCTGCGCGAGTGGACGGAGCAAGTGTCCAACGTGTGGCAGCACGTCCTCGCCCGACACCTCATCCCGATCTTTGCACCGGATCTTGGCGATATTCGTCGATCACTACGCGAGCGGCCAGTTGCGATCCCAACCCTTGTCCCCTTCCCACATCCCCAATGAACCACGCCAATCTTCTCGCTCCTCTCTCTTCCTCACCTTCTGGCAGTTTGATCTTCATCCTTCTCTTTCCTTCTCGTTCGAGCCTCTTTTAGTCCCTCTTATCAATCCTGGACACTGGCGGCTGTGGTGCGAAACTTTTGAGGAGCCGTCTTTCTGTTTGACCAGAGTACAGGTGACGTGGACGGGCACTAGCGAGCATCCCGCGTGGATTGAGAATCCGGAGCTGCTGATCATACAGGCTTGGAGGACTAACGTGGAAGGAGATCTTCTTGGCTTTCTCTTCGGATCGGTACGGCCGGGTCGACGACAACTGATTGCGCAGGAGCTCCGAGTCATCGCACCGATCGTGCAATTGGCGGACGATCTCTCGCCCGACATCTATTCGCAGAGTGACGACAGTCCTGCTCCGTATATTTTCGAGCGATCATTGGATCCGTACCTTCAGTGGACCGTGTGCTTGGAGAAACCCAGGGACGAGGATACGCTGCCATCGCGGCAGGAGTATCTGAAGCCGTACGATATCATCCCTCACGCCTTCTATCCGAGGGCAGAGGAAGTGGTGATCGACGACGACGACGAGGAAACATCGGAGGAGGGAAGCTATAGTGAACATCGCAAGGGTGAGATGAGCGAAGGAGAAGAGGAGGAAGAAGAAACTGGATCCGAGTGGGAAGCCCTGCCGGAGGAAGCGACGCGTACGGGAACGGAGGCGGAAGATCCGGAAGCGGCGTGAAAGCGCGAAGAAATTGCCACAGGGAAGCACCAGCTGGAGTTCGCCAGCGAAGCTAGCCTGCGCATCAGTAGCGATCCGACCAGGGATCCAGAGCCCCCGAAGCCCGAAGATGGCGACCCTGCAGCCGCCACCTCAAGTACCGCGCGACGGAGACGGAGCCCATCCCCCTCCTCCTCCAGCCCCACCCGTCCCCCAGTTCTCCCATGTACCGATGCGACCGATAGGCCTTCGTCCTCGGACGCTGTCCCGCCGACCCCTTGATTTCCTCACCCTCGAGCAGATCCGTACCCCCGTCACCTTCCCTATCCATCCCTTCCTTCCCCATCTCTTCCACGACTTCTATTCTACCTGTCTACTCGCCACCGTCCACCCCCACGCCTCCCTTCAATCCGCTGCCCCCACGTTCTGCTGGCATCTCCTGCTGTTCAGCGCTGCATGGGAGCGATGCAACGTGGTAGAGGTTTACTGCGTTGCCACGGGGACAATCCCCGCTTGCCGCCACTTCGAGATCTTTCGAGCGGCGCTTTTCCGTACCCTCTCCTCCTTCTATCGCAACTACCTCGCTTCCCTTCCCCGCAGCGGCGATCATTTCCCCCACTTCCGCCGGATCATCCGATATGACAAGCTCCCGATGACGATGGAAGGGATGAATCGCTTCCTACCCCTGCTTCCTCCCCGTCGTCCCCGCGAGATCCCCTCCATGTACCGTTTCTACTGGCCTATTCCAACTAGGCGGTAGGCCCCATTCACGTGACCCCCCCCCCCCTCCTCTCCTCATTGGCACGAATCAGTAAGCTTCGCGAAGATCACGCCATCGACGATAACGTCAACCTATGCTCTGATTCGACGGACAGCAACGAGCTGGGGTGCAAAGCACACGGAGATCAGGTGGACCGTGATGGCGTCACCCAGACGATCTCTTCAGGGCAGGGGGTTGCATATGACAGGGTTGCGGAGATCTTGCCACGGATGTTATCGCCATCTCATCCGCGGCTCAGTTACCACCCCTTGTGCTTCTTTCTGGAGCTCTGCTGATGTGTTTGGTTCCTCATGCATCACTCTGTTCTTCCCCTTTCTCTTTCCTCCTCCGCCATGACATGCAATCAGGAGATCGTACAATTTTGGAACCCCCTGCGCGTCACATATGTGACGAACCACTTCCCGAACCCGTGCCATCTTTCGTACCCCTTCTTTTGCTTGTATCATACCAACCCTAGAAAAAACCCGTTTCGATTTCTTGTTTCTTTTCTGAAGGCTTTTTCGACTTCTGGGATCTGTTTTTCCTTTTTGCAAGTCGGGAAATACATGGGAATTTACGTGCGCCTTAGCGAGCGCACTGGGAATTGGGCTCGGCAGTTGGGAATTTCGGGATAAGCGGAACTTCGACGTGTCCTTTTCGAGTGTGTGAATATTCTTGGGCGCGTCGAGGAAAACTCTCGGAATGAATACGAATAGGCGTAGGATTTTCTTTTCCCACGTCGCTTTTTCACGCGCAGATATGGTGATTTCAATTTTGAATTAGGATAGAAGCAAGCTGTAACTGTTTTGGTGCCTTTTTTTCTCTCTTTTTGTTGACGGCGCCGCGTATGCAAAGCTTTCTCCTCTCTGTCCCCCGCATCGCTCCCTCCCGCGCCTCCTTTCCCTTCTCCCTCCTTTTTGTTCTCTTCCCGTAACTGTTCTCTCTCTCTCTCTCTCTCTCTCTCTCCTGCTCTGCTTTTTGCGCGCCCATTTCCATTTTATGATCATCTGAATCTTGGACCCGTCTTGCGCTACTTCTCGCGCCTTTTCTCTTCTCACCCTCTAAGCCCAACGCACGACGCCCGGTAGATCCGTCGATAACTCCCGCTCGCCAATCAGGTGCGTGGATCAATAGGATCTTCCTATTGCGCGACGTATCTGATTGGTCGACCCGTGAGTTCCGAGGGATCAACATGGCATTCACGGAGCACTCTTCTCAAAGTCTTCTCCTCTTGCTTCTCCTCTTACACCTCAGTCTTCCCGACGTTTTCTCCCCCTTCTATCTCCTTTCTCGCAACTATAAAACCCGCAAGCGCGCCCCCAAAGCTCTCTTACGTTCTGGACTCCTAAGCCAGCTTCCGGGAAGCAGTGGCTAGGCAGAGTGTTTTTGATGCGAGTCGGAAAGTCCTGTCGGGTTGACGATAGGCTGGCCGGTTGCGCGCTGGATCGCCACGACAGACTGTGGGATCTGGGCGAACCGTGTCGAGTTTACGACAGCGGGGTGACGATCGCAGTGGTGGGAGTTAGCACGCGGCGGCCGGGACCGTCGGTGTGGGTATGAGGATCGATGATTGGAGTTGAGTGAGTGATTGTCCCAGGGCCATACTGAAATTAACGGCGAATACGCCTTTGTTGTTGCGGATCTTTATCTCTGGCATGAGTGTACGGCGGCAACGCCGAACTTTTCTCTCTCCGGACCTTGTCATCTCCTATTTTGACTTTCCTCCCTCGTCTCTCTCTCTCTCTCTCTCTCTCTCTCTCTCTCTCTCTCTCTCTCTCTCTCTCTCTTTCTCTCTTTCTCTCTTTCTCTCTTTTTCTCTTTTTGAATGATGATGTGTCTGAATGATTGTCTCTCTCTCGAATAGGAATGAGTCGGCATCCTATTTCTGTGTGAAAGAACTTCTTCCGGAACTCTTCCATTAGTTTCCTGGGTAATCCTCCTACGCAAGGACCCCGTTTCCTTGTCTTGTGAACAGTGGATGTGTGTGTACTGTGCAAGCAATCCATCTTTTTCCTTTGCATGGCTCATTTTTCGCACCTTCCACAGTGAATGAATGAATGAAGATGTGCGTCTCTTTTGCGTTGATTAGACAATTGTCGTCGGGATTTTGTCCGAGAATGCAAGAGTGTTTAGATCTGTAGCTCTGAATGCACTGCGCAGGTCATCTGCCTTATGCTGCATGACATTAGCAGCCGAGCCACGGAGCGGCCTCGAGAAACAAGGCGCGTGGAATCAACGTTGCACTAGCTCACTAAACCTGAGCCGCGGATCGGTTCCTTAGTTATATGCATGATCCAGCTGATGAAGTGTCTTTTTTTTCTCTCTCTCTCTCTCTCTCTCTCTCTCTCTCTCTCTCTCTCTCTCTCTCTCTCTCTCTCTCTCTCTCGTGTTGAAAGGGATTGATTGTGGGGTGCGCAAGCGTTTTCTTTTCTTGATGACGTCTCCCGATCTTTACAATTGATTGATATGTGGACTAACCAGTACCCTCCGATCGGGCACCAGCTTCCCGTACCTCCCGTCCCAACACGGCCTTTTCCCTACAACGAGGGAAGGACACGTGTATGCGAGTAGGACGTACGAGAAGCCGTTGCACAAATCGGTGGACGATACTACTTCCCTCCAGCAAATCGTTGTTCAGGGTTCGTAGAAGTTGGGTTTGTCATTATCGATACACACTTCCCACCTTACTCGATATTGTTGCCATTCAACGAGTTGATCGTCATCCCGTGGACGGCAGTAGAACCCCACTGGCCGCGCACTCTATNTACACACTTCCCACCTTACTCGATATTGTTGCCATTCAACGAGTTGATCGTCATCCCGTGGACGGCAGTAGAACCCCACTGGCCGCGCACTCTATGCACCGAATGTCAGCGTTTTGAGCGCTACGAGTCCAGGGGTTTCCACTACCGTGTGCAAAGTGAAGACGAGCATAAAGAAAGAGCCACGCGACTGAGACCATCCACGTCAGACTCAGAATTGACCAGCGAACGACGACGAGATTTGATACGAAAATGAGACACGCGAAGCGTGCCAAAGCCTTCCCATTCTAAACGACGGGCTGTAGCCCGGTGGGAAGCCCGACAATAGTTTTTGGATTGAATTTGGATGTTTCGCGCCCTGCCCTCACGTGCATTCCGCGACGCGCGAAAGCAATCGACTTGCTTTATCGGACCAACACGGGGGATTTCAGTTCTGTCTGTGTCCCCACACTCAATTTCCAAAAATCCTTGGCACACCCCATCTTGCTGTTTTTCGCGCGTCACAACGGGGCTCAATGCCTGGGCCTGAGGGCCCTTTTGCAGTTCACATGCCCTCACTTCTTTTTGGGGTCCGCTTCTACCCGGGGTCCGGTCCAACGCCCCCCACTTCTTTTTGGGGTCCACTTCCACCCAAGGACCGGTCCTTCCTTTTTCCAAAAGTCCCGGTTCTAGCAAAGCTAGCTGTAGGTAGTCCGCAGTTTTGCCAAGGACCGGTCCCCCAATTGTTTTTGCCCCCTAAGAACCCGCTTTGCGTCCTGGTCGCCCGCCGCCAAAAATGCGATACCTTGACACAGACAGGGAAGCCCACTATACCGCAGCCTAAGGGTTGCGAATTGATTATAAAAACATTGAGGCCGGGAATTCCTCACAAACAACCCGGATAAAAAACCAACAGACTGGGATAGACCCAGTAAATACTGTGGGCAACCGCCCAACGACTCAAAGTCCAACTTACTTCCGTCAAATCCACATGATCGCTACTATCTTGACCAATACTCTACCTATTGTCGTAACAAACCTACCACTCCTCTCTTCACCCTCAGCCCTTAGCTCCCTACTGGGGTCAAAAACCCTCCCTGCCTAATGCGGCTAGGTGGACCCTTTGGTCCTCTACTTTCCTGGACACTCTCCTTCCCCTCCCTGCCTAATGTGGCTAGGTGGGCCCTTAGCTCCCTACTGGGGTCAAAAACCCTCCCTGCCTAATGCGGCTAGGTGGACCCTTAGCTCCCTACTGGGGTCAAAAACCCTCCCTGCCTAATGCGGCTAGGTGCCCGACTTGCCTCCTACTGCGGATGTCCCAACCGAGTGCGCCTGGTTGTCCCAAATTATCCCTCCTATTTTACCGACCCTCTTTTTCTTTTTCCCCTTTTCCACCCAAGTCTTTATTCCTCTATCAGTACTCTGCCCTTTGCTTCTACCTACGAAACCAACCAACTGGCAATGGACAGATTACCCTTACTATCTACCGTCCCCAATTTCCCACCCTGGCCCCAAGTGTCTTGAAACCAACGTCCAACAGATCGGACTCTTCCCCCCCTCGGAGCTCTCCTTCTCCAGTCGGCAACCATCACTCTTCTTAACATTGCCTTGAACGTTGCTCTCATCTCAGGCTCCGACATCAACTTCCTTTCGAATCGGATCCTGTTCCTTCCCGCCCGACTAGCCTGTGCTACGTACCCCCAGCCTTTGCTTAGATCCAACGTTTTTGGAAGCCCCCCCAACAATACCCATTCCTTGTCCCATTGCAGATCGTTTCCCGTCCAAGTCACCCACTGTTCAGCCCACCAGGCCCAGAACTTCTGTGAAACTGGGCAGTCCCACCAGATGTGTATCGTCGACTCAAACGACCAGTGGCATCTCTTACATTGCACATCCACCTCCAATCCCCTGCTGATAAGCCATACCGTTGAGGGTGTAGCTAACAACGAGGCCAACCATAAAATAGTTGCGGCTCTTGGGAACGGGGACTCCACCAACTGCTGCGAGCACCTCTGCAAGGCGTTGCTTATCTTCTCTGAGTCATCTGGGAGTACTCTTGTCCATCGTTGCGTGGCCGTCATTAGAGGTGTCCGATGGGGCTCCTGAACTTTGTAACCCAGTTCCAACGTGTATTCGTCCAACCTGACATGTTCCCCCCGTGACTCTCTGCTCCTCCAGGCCCATTGGTCTGGGTCCGCTTTGAGAACCGCCAAGGGAGCCCCTACGTTCCAGAGCTTCACCTTCCAGTCACCCTCCTCGCTCACCGTTTCTCTCACCCTAATCTCTACAAGTGGACCTCCCGGCAGGGAGCAGTGTTCCTCTTCCTTGCACAGACTCAGATTTGTTTCTCCATTCTGCGCCTGCCATCGCTGGAACTTCCTTCTTCCTTCTTCACTAATCTCCTCCAGTTTAACAAACTCTCTCAACTGGGGGGCAAGCGGATCCCGTTCCTTTTCCACTTCATACCAGGTCCCTACCGGATTTGGCTTCGCCGGGGAGAGGATCTGCAGCCATGCCTTAGGAATGCTGTCCAGCACTAATTGTCTTCTCTGTCTAATGTACCTTCCTGGTCTTAAAATGCCCACCATCTCCTCCCCTGAGCGCCAGTCTCCTGTGAACTCATTCCAGAGGTCTCTCAGTCTAACCACACCCCGTTTTACCCACGCCTTTCCGAAGCTGCCTGGTTCTGAATTGGCCATGAGCATCATCCCTCTATTGTCTCTGATGTTCTGATTCTCAAATATAATTTGTGCGAGGACTTCACCTTTCGTGCAGGGGGCACTGATGATGTCTGGCTTCACCCTCCTCCATGCTAACAGCACCGCCCGCCAAAACTCTGATTTCAGCTGTCTCCTGAGATAAGAGTCGATCCACACGTAGGCCCACACGTCCGATTTTCGTTCCAACTGCCACTCCTTACTCAATATGTGCTCTCCGAGTGCGATCCAATGCTTATCGTTCTGCTCAGTGATAGCCCGAATGACCCACCTGGCGAGCATGGCCAAGTTCCTCCTGCCCGGAGCCATCATTCCCAGTCCACCTTCTGTCCTGGGGACGCAGATCAGATCCCAACCTACCTTAGACATTACATTCCCCCCTTCTTCCGCATAGGGCTTCCAGATGAATCTTGACGCTTTCCTTCTCACCACTGCCTGTGTCTTCTTGCCTAGTGGTCTCACATTTCCCACGAAAGTGAGGAGGGCAAAAAGGGCCACATTTACCACCAACGCACGCCCAAGCAGTGACAAGTGCGGGGCTTTCCCCCAAGTAGTTATCCTCTGCAGCACTTTGTCCTGCAATATCTCTTCTTGTCGGAGCGCACATGAGGTAAGGGCCACCTGGAACCCGAGGAATTGTTCCGAGCTGCCGCTGTGAACTCGCTTCATACCCCAGTCCACCGTGGGGATGCACCTTTGGGGTAGCAGGAAGACCGACTTGGACCAATTGATCGCAGCGCAGACATCGATTCCACTGTGTTGGCCGAAACTGCAAACAGATTGTCCGCCAGCGCCTTTACCTTGCAAGCTCGTTGACCCAGATCTATTCCCTGAATCTGTGCATTGACCCTAATATTGTTTAGTGGGACCTCTAGATGCACCACAAACAACAGCAGCGCCAGGGGGCAGCCCTGTCGCAGCGACCTTGACAACCTGAACGGAGCTGAAATGTGTCCGTTTACCATGACTGAAGTTGTGGATGCCGCATACAACCCTATTACCCAATTGCAGAAAATGACCCCGAAACCCATCCATTTGAGGGAGCTCAAGACTTACGACCAGTTAACCCGGTCGTACGCCTTTTCCATGTCCAATAATAGGACATTGACTTCAAGGTTCTCTTGGCTTACAACTTCCAGCACCTCCACCGCCGTTACAATATTCTCGTAAATGGAGCGGCCTCTGACGAATGCTGCCCGGTCATCTTCCACGAGGTCCGGTAGGTATCTCCCTAACCTTCTCGCTAAAACCTTCACCAGAATCTTGTAAGATACATTGAGGAGCGATATCGGCCTCCAATTCCGAATCTCACTCGTGTCCCCCTTCTTGAACAGGATGGAGATGATCCCCCTGCACGCGCTGCCAGGTAGCCTCCCTCCCAGTTGCATCTCGTTATAGATCTCTACCGGGTCGTCCCCTAGCAAGTTTCAGTGTTGCTGGTAGAACTCCGTCGGAAGCCCATCATCCCCTGGAGTCTTCCCATTCGCCATCACTTTCAAGGCTTCCCCTGCTTCTTCCTTTGTAATTGGTCTATCAAGGTCTAAACGTCCTTGTGAATGCAGCTTTACTGTCGTGTTGTTCCAATGGTCGGAGCCAGTGGCCAGATCAGTCTCAGCTCCTTCCCCCTGTCTTCTAGACGTGAGTATGTCTTGGTAGTACAACACAGCGTACCTGCAGAGTTCCTCTGGTTCCACTGCTACCGGTTCGTTGGGGTCGAATGGGTGTCTGAGCTCCTTGAGCGCCGGGCCATTTCTTGCTGGAGTCAGCTTTTGAAAGGATTCTCTGGACATCCTATCGTAAACCTCCAGGCCCTTCATCTTCAGTCTTTTTGCCCAAAGCTCAGACTTTTCTTGCTGTTTCTTATCCCACTCAGCCAACCTTTTGGCCCGCTCCTTGCCCCACGCCCGTTCCGAGATAGGGTGCCTCTTCATCTTTTCCTCCGCGTCCTGTACTCTCTTCTGACATTTCCTTTCTTCCTTATTTCTGCTCAGCGCGAGAATCCGAGAGAATACGTCTAGCAGCCTCGACAGGATCCTTGACCCTGTCTCCCACCAATCTGCTAGCGTTGGAAAGCGCTCCTTCTGTTTCTGCCACCGCTCCCAAAACCCTTGTGTCCATTTGTTCAGCCCTTCGCTGTGAAGATTTTGTGTATTGAGCTTGAAATACCCTCTACCCCTTGGTTTCTCCTTCGCGAGGTTGAACTGCCCGATCACTGGTTTATGATCCGAGACCGGATTTATGACTTCCTCCACATTAATTACCTGACCCTTCAGACCTCCTCCCACCAGCAAATAGTCTAACCTCCTTCCCTTCCCTCGGTGCGAGAACCAGGTGTAACCGGGTTCTGCTGGGCGCAGGGTCCTGTAAACATCCTGAAGGTCCAGGTCCAGCATCAGATCCACCAGTGCAAGCACATCCTTCGCACACCCATGACCCCTTTGATCCGGCGGGGAATCTAAGACTGTATTCCAGTCCCCGTCAATGATGACCTCATCCACATCTGGAAGGGACACCCGCAGTTCATCCCAAAAGGCGATCCTCTCACTTCTTCTGACCGGTGCATACACTGAAACGACCGCCCAAATAAGATCTCCACTCTTCAGGACCACCCATACCCAGCGGCCCCAGAGGTCTGCAAAGTAGTCGACTATTTGCACCGCCAGGTCTCTGTGAATAAGAATCCCGACACCTCCCCTCGTCTCTTGAGCCTCATACCAAATCTGCGGTCCGTCCCACCACCTTCCTAATTCCCCTATCTTCTCGTTGTCTAACTTGGTCTCTTGTAGGCACGCTATCTGAATCCGTTTCTCATGTAGCCAAGACTTTACCCTAGTCCGTTTGCTCCTTCTGATTGTGTCCCCGAAGCCCTGCAAATTCCAAGTGGCTATCTTGATTTTATCCATTTAAATTAACCGCTCCATGTTGCTGTTGGATGTGAGCATTGGTTGAACGAACATCGGGCCAGCTTTGAGTGAGAGTCGTCTTCAGAAAGATGGAGTCCAATTTCTTCTCCTTTGGCAGCCTCATCTTGAGCTCCGCCAGCGCATCAGCCGTCATCATAGTCGGAGAGATCATGAATTTTGCCAGTTCTTGCTTCTTTGCCTCCGCGAAGGTGGCCAAAGGGATTAACCTCAAACCATGCGGTTTGAGCTCCGACAGCTTCTGCTCTGTGAGCCTGGCGTCCACGAGAGGAACATAGTACTTCACTTTGCTGCCTGTCGGGCCGAATAGTATCCTAGCCATTACCACATCCGGGATGACCCTCATCGGGATAGCATCGAGGTACAAGTTCTTCAGGCTTCTCTCAATGTCCAAGGTTGAGGGAATCTCTGAGACCGCTTGCCCAAATACCAGAGGCGGTCCAAGGTTCTTCTGCCATGTCACCACCCATAAGGAATTCCGGAAGGCCGTACAGACCAAGGGTACTAAAAATTGCGGGAACTTCGAGCTTTGATCCCGCGTCGAAGCAAGTCTTCGATCCCTCGTTGTTTTTTGGCCTGGGGTCACCATTCCTACCTCCTGACTCACCGACTTTTCCGAACCGCTTCGTGACAATCGCGAAGCTCTCGATGGTTCAGGCGTAACTCCTGGCACAAACGTCAAACTCAATCTCCTCTGCTTCCCTATTCCTCGTGGTTTGCTGGTGGAGCCTTCCGGGTTCTCGTTTGGTCCCGGCGTCCCACCGTCAGTTCCATCCCTTAATCCTCCCCCAAAGGGTTGTTCTGCATTGAGCATCCCCTGTCCTCCCTCTCTTCCCGGTGCCGTCGAGTTTGGTTGTTGCGTGTTGCCACCCATCTGACTTCTAGCTGGCACTCCTCCGTGCGGGTTCAACATCCCCGCCCATAGCGCTGGGTGAATGCCATTGGCTACGAGCCAGTCCGCTGAGATAGTCCCTCCTTGCCATGCCGCCAGCTGTTCGCCATTGAAATTTGACATTTCGAATAGATTTTGATTGTTGAACAGCCCTGGCCCCACAGGTGCTACTCCTGCAAATCCTCCCCCCACTTGTGCCTGTGAGAAACCTCATGCTCCACCGCCTCCTTGTGCCATGTCGTGCGGACCCTGACAACCCGCCAGGCCGATGCCTTGTGCCATTCCTCCCAACCCACCCTGAAATCCGCCCAGTTGCCCTTGATGTTCACTACCACTTCGGTTGCCTTGTGGTGAGAAGGTCGGGTTGCTTCGCATAAGACCAGCTTGGCTGGCCGCTCCTGAAGGGGCTTGGGTACCGCTCCTCGGGCCCATCGGTCCTTGATACCTCCCGAGATTCTGCGATTGTTGCTGTTGCAGGGAGCTTCCGTGATGCCGCTGTGATGCTCCTGCCCCCCCCATCCACTGGCCGCCATTTCTTCTGCATTCTTGTTCCGTATGGAAAAACTGCCGACAGGTCCTGCACTTGACTGTGTCTGTTGAAGCCAATTTGATCTCGAGAGTGTCTCCCTTCGGCGTTTCGATCCAGAGGACGTCCTACATATTCGTGCGAGCTTCTGGATCAAGATCGAACCGGGCATTAATGAGGGCCGGTCTCGACAGGTCTGCATCCGTTGGGTGCGCTAAGATGATCTTACCTATCGCCTTCTCTATTTGCGCATATATGAACGGCATGTCGTCGAGTGGCACCTGAAGCGCCATCACCCAAAACACCCTATCCTCCTCCTGCTTCCTCAATTCCCTGAACTCCGCTCGCGTCATCCACGGCTTGAACTGGACTCTGTAGGATTCATTTCCTAAATTCACCTCCACCGACTGCTCCGATATCATATACTCTGCGACTTCCTTTGCTTTCGCAACATAGGACGCTACCCCTGGACCTTCTATCTTGATTCTCCCTCTCCTCTGATTTTGCAGTAGGGCCTCATTCCCAATTACCCACCCATCCTCAAAGGCTCTGACCAGGTCATCTTTTATCTTCCGCGAAAGAAACCTCGCGGCGTCTCTATAAATAATAGTCACGGTCCGCTTTTTCAACCATTTAACTTCGATGTCATCGGGGGATGTGTTCAATTTGAACCTGACCTCCCTACCCTCCACAATCATCTCTCCTGGGTCAATTTCCGTTGGATATACTCCATCATCAAAACACAACGCTGATAGGCTCCTAATCCTATCCTCGTCCTCCCAATAATCTCTGTCCTCGTACAGCCCTGGTGGGGGAGATCTCCCTGAAGCTACCTGGGCCGGCGTGGCCGCCATCTTTCCCTCTTCGTTAAACTAACCTTACCTCCAATCTCCCTCTTGCCTTTCTTCTCCTGACGCCGGTTCTCACATTCCTCAGCTCCTGTACCTTACTTCTCCGTGGGGGTTGCGCCTCCTCCTCCTGGCGTCCACTCTTATGGCTAGACTTGCGCCATATCTGCTCCGCGAAGGGGGCTGGTGGGGGGACGTCTCCAAGGCGATATCGTTGGTGGTAGCGCCCTGAACGGCGGCTCGGGTTCTGCCAAACCCGGTAACGCTTGGCGGAGCGCGAAGCGCCGGCCAGGCAAGGTCGCGCTAACCCCAGTCCCTCTCCTCCCGAAGGGCTGGGTGGTAATTTCGGGGCAAGGGATTGGTCACCTCTGTAGGTGACCACAAGTGCCCTATTTTTTTTAAGCATTTTCTTAAAAAATTGGCAAAACTTCGTTCACAAACGTTCTTGCACAATTTGTGGATGGCGCCGTGTGACCAGCCAAGTACCAAATCCCCATTGTCTGTCGCGTGGGCGAGGGTAACGCAGCCCTAAAGTAGCCAAAGCAATGCCTCGTTATACCCTCCTTGGAAATTCCTCAGGAATTAGGATGAAGTCCTTGGAAAATTTTCTGGTTTTCGGCGTCACCGCGTCCTACGTCCTAATTCAATGCGTCCCAAGGAAAACCCTTGGAGGTCTCCAGCGGCCAATTTCATACCCATACATGTGGCCGTGGGGGTGGATGTCCGTCATCGTGCTGGGATGTCAGTGCGTCCTCGGGCGTGGTCCAGTGGCGGGGATGAAAAAAAAGGGCGCCAACATCCCTGTTCCAATTTCAAATTTTGAACCCTCCGTTGTGACACATCAGTGCGTGAGGTGTCCGGGTAGCTGGACTGGAGACTGGGGCGAAACATCTGTGCAGAGGAGTGATGGCGGCCATGGCTTAAAGAATGACATTGAAATGTTGGGCGATGTAGCGTGTATGCGTAACAGTTCGCTACTGCGACGTCGCCTTCATGTTCCACATGCTCTTCAGGCCGTCACAGCTTACCTTAAACGTAACGCTTCCGTGAAACGTGGAGAGTGCGAGTGCGGTCCCCATCGACGTGCAAAAGGTGCGGCGAGGGCGCCGGTAGGCAAACGAGTGGTGGGTGCTTGCGCATTGCAAGTCCTGACGATGGAACGAGCTCCCGGATGGTGCGAAGGCATTAACAACATTGGAGAGAAACACGGTGGTCGCAGTTGTGTCAGTCGTCGCCCTGCGTTATAGCATTGAGAGAACGACAACTCGCCTGAGGATGAGATTGTTCGTTCGCAGGCAGAGGCAGCTGATGCAACAAGTGATGGATGCACCCGATTGTCAGTCGTCGCCCTGCGTTATAACATTGAGAAAACGACAACTCGCCTGAGGATGAGATTGTTCGTTCGCAGGCAGAGGCAGTTGATGCAACAAGTGATGAATGCACCTGATTGTGTATCGTTATCGGAATCCATTGTGTAATTCTGTTGCGTCGTGGCATCCAGTGTGATCCCACGGGCGACGTCGAGATGGTGGATGAGGAGAAGGACGAGAGGGATATGGGAGGATCTCCGAAAGGTTGACGACACGACGGAGGGCTACTACAAGGAGAAGTTGCAGAGTGGAGTAGTCAATAGCGCGCGTCGGCTGTCTGCTGGAGGTTTTCCGCCTGTCCATCGTCGTCTTCCTCACCGTTCGTCAATTCTGTTTGCTGTTAGGACCTCGCACAACGGCGCACACGTGGAACAACATGACAAGGAGCAGGAGAATAGTGGCCAGCAGCAGCAGCGGGAACCCTCAGAGGACGTCTACCATGAATCACAACATGCGAGGCGTGTACCAAACAAAGTTTGTATCAATGCGTCCAACAATAGTCGACAATAGACGCTAGGCAGATGTCTGCAATTGACCGACAATGCTTCAACATCGCTTGTGGAAAAATAAAAAAAATCCGACCGTTGGACACCACGGTCGACGACGCTGTCGAGCGCATCGATCTCGTGCCGTGCAGGGCGGGACCCTCCCGACCGCGTCACGCAGGAGTTGGTTTATTCCTCGTCACGAATACACATGGAGCTTCCGCAAGCCGTTCCGGCCGAGTGCGTCAGACATACCTCTTGCGAGCCCCTACGACAGGATAGGGCCAACGCGAGGCACGACTTACCTCCACAGAGTTGTCACCTCCCTTCGATGGGCGTATCCTCGCCGAGCTACCAATCCACAGTACGAAAGTTAATAAATTGCAATCGCAGAGGTGGACCAGCCGAGGGCGTTTCTCGTTCGTTGTAGCATAGAGGGTACGGGAGGCTTTACGCCTCTATCGGACCCGCACGTGAACCGACGCACTTGGGGGCTGAAGTCCCGAGCGCAGCTCGACGTCGGTCGACTAGGACGTATCCCACGCACCACGTGTACACCACTCTAAAAATATACAAATTAAAACATACACACACACACGGAACGACACAAACAAAACAACGCACACAATCCTAGTCCCTTCAGTAGCCATCCCATAATTCTCCGATGCGGAAATCGGATAGGCGACGCACGCGAAACTAGGCATAAAAGGCACGCGGACGCAGGGCCTTCCCATATCGACTAGCAATGCAAGCATACGCAAGCAGTCGTAATGATGGCGTACTATGTAATACCCAAAATCATACGGTCCTCGTTAATCTCGAGGGTTGCATTTGACACTCAAGTGTCGGCTGACACGAGCCTTGAGGGGTTAATCTCTCAACGCTACACAACCGCCAAGTGCGGTTGGTACACAAGTTCATACCTATGGTGACAATCGTTTCTTATCGCCCTGGAGGCCAGCTCCATCATCTAGAGCCTGGAAAGAAATCAAGGGGTTTGACTTTGACGGTTGCCACGAACTATAACGTCCAACTACACGGAAACTTGAAAGAGCAAAGGATAAAAAAAAATCTCTCTCTCCTCTCAAACGCATTCTCTGTTTAACCTTTACGCGCGGTCACAGTAGGCCACGTGAAACACTTAAGACATATGTATTTACATATATATAGAAGGTTATAAATATGTGACGATCACTTTTTACAATCACAGTGCGGTTTTCCTCATCCATATACGTATATGATCGCAGGCAAGTCAAAATCCAAAGCCCGAACCATAAAACATATTTGCAATCACATCAACGATTTAACCAAAAGTTCACACACTACACGGGGGTAACTTTAACCATTCCCTGGACTCACACCCCTCACTTTAGCCATACAAACCTCAACCTTAGCGCACCCCTCCAGCAATAAAATACCCAGTACCTTTGTTAAATGGTCATTCAATAAAGTCCGGGTAAAAACACAATAAAACAAATCAAACGACAGGGCTAAAGTCTTTCGGTTGAGTGACAATAATCGGCAAACGACCTGTTTTCAGTGATAACAGAAGATGATCCTTGTAGGATAAAGAATCTAGCCAAAATCTTGAATCAAACGACCAAGAGAACCTATAACACAAGACAGACCAATCCCCAAGCTAGATCTATCAGTCTAATAGAGAATAGTCTCCATATCACGATCTTACTCAAAATCATTCTACTTAACTAAGTCGAAGTCTACCTCTAAGAAAGTGTCCAAGGAAAGGTAGATTTTTGGCAAAATCTCCTCTATATAGAGTGGATCGCCAGAATCGTCACCTAGGAAAATATAATCTATCTCCTTTAAACTAGGAAAATTTCGGCAACGCTTCCCGTAGGAAAAATATCTTTTCAAAATTTATACTAACTCTAATATAAAGACTGAAATGTTTTCTAACTCTTGGAAAGTCAAATTTTGTCTAAATCCCTGAATTAGTAAAAATTTGGGCAGCACTCCCTTTATAAATGGAGACTTCTCAAATTTATACTAAGTCGGATGCAAACTCAAAACAAAATTCGACTTTAACTAAGACAAAATTTAACTAACTTTTTAGATCTGTAAAAATTTGGGCAACACTCCCTTTAGAAAAGGTACTTCCCATATTCATACAAAGCTAAGTTCAAAACCTAAAATAACTTTGACTTCTCAAGATCCAATTTTGTCGAACTCCTTGAATTAATAAAAATTTGAGCAGTACTCCCTTTAGAAAATGAAACTTTACAGATTTTTACTAAGCCATATATAAAATTTCGACAAACTGAAACTTTGAAGAGTCAAAATATGACTAACTCTTTGGTTTTGTAGAAATTTCGACAACGCTTCTTGTACAGAAAGTGACTTATCAAGATTTATACAAGACCGAATATAACAAATGATCCAAAAAAATGCAGAAATTGACCTAAGTAAAATAAACCTTAACTCAGAAAATGCAAGAATTGAAACTAACTCTTATGGCTCTAGCACGTGGCGAGCAACTAGAACAACTACCTGTCATACGAAAGCTCATACTAAGTAATGATCGATTTCACCCACATGCAAGGCCAAACCACATTGGTATGTACTCTCACCAGCCCCAAGTCAATTCACATACGATACTTCATGAAAACCCTCACATGATTCATCCTTTATGCCTTACTTACATATGGCATGGTGCTAGATCATCCAACTTAGAAACAATGTCTAACATGCCTTTAAAATATACACGAACAGATTGCACAACTACTTTCTCTTCTTTGCGCATATGACTATACCATTTAGCTTAGAAACAATGTCTAGTCACCTTGAACTATTTAATAGTCAAAATTTAATAATACTTTCAATTATACTTCGTAATTTTTCTTTTTTCTTAATGATATGGCTTAGCGCTAGACCATTCAGCTTAAAAACAATGTCTAATTGTCAGTTCTCATGCAAGTATAAATAAAGTACTTCCTGTTATACTCAGTTTATACTTATGTGCGTGGCTTTCAGGCTAAACCATTCAACTTAGAAACAATGCTTAGCCTTAGACCATAAATCCTCCCCCAGAATGAAACAAAAGATTGAACCCTTCAGTCAGGCAAGCCCTCAAAAATAAACAGAGCAACCAGACCATTCAGCTTAGAAACAATGTCTGACCCTTTACAAAAATAGTTAAATAAACATAGTCCTGGGTCATTCAGCTTAGAAACAATGCCCAGTCCTTGGTTGACCCGGTTAAATACATGCAAACTGCCTTCCTCCCATCTTCCTCCAGTTCATCCCTCCATCTGCTT